GTACTCCAGAGTGTTGTTCAGCATGGGGGTGAGTAGAAAATGAAGGCTAATCATGTTTTGGGTGTACTATTCCTTTAATCTGAATATATCCCTGCAGACCACTGTTCACCTACAGAGCAATACTCCTACACTCTATTACCTAAACCTTACCTGCCTTGTCTTGCATATGACCTTCAGTGGCATCCTTATCTTAACTTAGGTGAAATATGACATCAGTTCACCCTTTGAAGCTAGAATAGCTTCAGTTGTTCTGGGAAAGCTGTTAAGAAGGTTTAGGAAGAAACCCACCAGCCTGCACTGCAGGAACTCCAAGGTTGTGGGTTCGATTCCTGCTCGGGGTTGAAACAATTTGCTTACTTTGTACCAGTTTATTCTAATTTCTTCATCACTTACATCTGTTGAGTTGAAAGTTGTTGTAACAAATTGAAATAAGAAAATATCCAGGACCTCTGATTAAAAAAAAAAGACGTATCTCTGTTTCCTCACTTTTTGTAAAGTCCTATCCTTATAAACCAGACTAAATGTGAGATTAAATGTGTAATTTAGTCTGGCCCCAATGACTGAGACATTGGAAGATTGTTGATGAGAACAACCCGTTGTTTTTCAAACCATGTCTGTGCCTATTGGCCAACACTCTGACCAATGAGAGCAACTGACTGTGACGTAGGAAGCGTGACAAACAGCCTATCGGTAAAACGGCGAATACGTCCTTCTTAAAAATGAATGAGCATAGAGCCTCTTCCTGCTCACGTTTCAACGAAAACCCCAAGTCTAATCCTTCCAGAACTGATTCCAAAGCTGAGTCAAGCGAGAACTGTTCAATAGTTGCTGCCATCTTCCTTGTTGTGCTTTCTTCAACGTTAGAACTGGAGTTGGAGTCGTCTCTAAAGAAATGGTCAGTTTATTTCGATAGCCTTAAAGATAAAAAAAAGTAATTCAGGCCCCAACGAGATTCGAACTCGTGACCCCTGGTTTACAAGACCAGTGCTCTAACCACTGAGCTATAGGGCCTCAGCTGTTCCCCAAAGTATTACAATTGTAATTATCCATGAACAAACGTCTGAGACACACCTCTCTGCTGATGGTGTTTGCTTTCATGATGACGCGTCACCGCTTCTCTCTGGGAGTCATGTGATCAGTTGGATGTAGTGAGCAGCCTTATACAGCTTAACTTAAGTCACATCTGGATTTCATTTAGTTTCGTATCACTAAATCTTATTATTGGAATTAAACAAGTTAGTTTGTTGCCATTGAAGCAGTAAAATGGCTCCAAGCTTCCAAAACCTTAAGCCAATTTTAGCTCTATGTTTTGTTACTGTTAGACCTACAGATCAAACTACAATCCAAGCAGATTTCAATGCTTTATTTTTTTAAATACTGAAAAGCAGGAATAAGAATCTGCACCGGCTCTGTCAGAAGGAAAATCGGAAACTAATTTAAAATGGAAAAGTGTTAATTTATGAGAGAAAAAAGTCGGTGTCACTGATTGCACTTTTTTCAATGGATCACCAATTTTAGAAAACCCATTTTCTTATTGCTAAGGTTAGGAAAAAAATCTACAATTACTAAACCTTTATTTTATTTCTGCCTGCAACTTCAAATTCACAATTATGATGCTTAAATCTTTAGGATTCAAAAGGATTTCCACATAAACGTTCCTCCCCAGTGGTGCTACACCTGTTTCCTGTGGGCGTGACACCAGCCAGACCAGTTAGCTCTCTGAATCTTTCGACAGGAAGTCAAGCTGTACCTCACAGAGAGCAAAGTGGTAAAAATCTTTTTTTCTCTCCCAGATTCTGTGTCTGCAGGAGGTCCAGGAGGACCACTATGAGAACCAGATCAAGCCAGCACTACACGCTTTAGGTACCAATTCCTGTCCAGTCTTAATAAATGCATTTAAAATGTATCCCTCTTGATGCAGTAAGAGGTATTTAAAAACCAAAGCACAGTACAAATAACAAAACGATAAAACCAAGCATTTCTGCTGAGAAAGCGTTCATACCTGCAGGGAAGAAGGAGCAGTTTTTTAGCAACATCATGCAGGATATGCAACTTATACCGTGTTTTTCCTAATTTAATTAACTAGACTCGTTTTCCACTAATGATGAGCCTCTCAGGTCCACATTATAAGCCGTTTATAATCCTCCATTGTTATAAATGAGTCAGTGAAATCATCCCAAAGAGAGCACCAAGCATTGCAGCTACTTTTTACATTTTCAGACCCTTAGATATCCTTATTTTTTAACCAAAAC